TTGATCATTGGGGAAGCTCTGATGATGATGAGGACGATGATGATGATGAAGAGGATGATGATGATGATGATGAGGATGATGAGTATTATGATTATGATGAGTATTATGATTATTGTATAAAGAAGGTATAAAAACAGTTAAGACCTTGTTGTATTTCCAGAAAATATATATTTTTCATGAGTATTATGATTATATGATGATGATGATGATTATGAGGATGATGATGATGAACGACTTTACATATCACAAACCTGTCAATTTCAATGCGATAGAAGAGATAAATTATACCTAAACTACCTCTCTTCCTCCTTCTCTTTTCGTGTTGCTTTTAAGTAACACCTCTCATATTTTAGCCTCTTATAATATGTGAGGCAACGTGGTGGAATCAGGCTCTCGTCAAAATAATAAAATCGAAGAAAACAGCAGTTTTCTCCCTGCTTAGAAATTGTTATCGAATTTTTGTTTTTTTGCTCAACACCTTTTATGTCCATTCACATTCCTTTGAGGATTTCACACAAAAAACGTTGATTAAAGGCACACAAAAAAATTTACACAGTTTCCATGGACTCTCCATCTTTGGAACTTACCAAGCTTTGGCGGCCATTTTCTCACTAGTTTTACCTCTTAAATCAGGTGACCCCCACATCCTTCAATCCAAAATATCTTCACTTCTATTGAAGATGGATGGGTAGTTTTTCATTGAAAGCAAGACAAATGAACAAGCTTTAGGATGATACCAATAACTCAATATGCCCAAAAATTGACGAGAGCCTGATTCCACCACGCTGCCTCACATATGACTTTAGATTTGTGCTGCAAGTGCAGTAGAGCTTTTATTGAGAAACTTGTAAATTCTTTGCCATATCGACAGACCGAAGGGCTAGAACCCAAATGGCCGCTGGATCGGAAAAGTAAAGTAAGTAGAGTAAAAGGCATGAGAATGTTTTGAATTTCCCACAATAATTATAATTAATCTGCTGTTATACTGTTATACATTCTCTCTCTCCAGGAGGAATGACGTCATCTCCCACGTGAGAGAGGCTGCCTCGGCCGCATTGACTGAGATCGGCGGGGCTGAGGCGCAGGAGGCCATGCGAGTCACCAGAATCCTCTCTGACGAGATACAAACTCTGTCTCCATAAATAATCATAATGTCACTGACATATATCTGTCCTCGTCATTTTACGTAAGAAAAACTCTGAAATTATGCAAACTGAGCCCAAAAATGTGAAATTATGTGATTCTGTTGATTTTAACAAAGAATGATAAAGGAAAATAATTAGAAATTATGAAAAAAATTATCAAAAATTGCTAAATTATGCGGGGTGCTTAAAACCACAGGGACAGACCTATTCCTTCGAAATTTCTGAATTTTTAAACTATAAAAATGTAGTTGTTCAGGTCTAAAATTGTTATACAGATGACTTCGCTTGAGCTGATCTTCAGTTAAATTAAATTTATATTTTTCTCGTGGTGCAGTACCTCTTTTTCTGTCTTTACAGTTCCCACTGTTAAGTTGAACTTTGGATGAGTTGATCTATTTTTCACTCCCCCATCGACATCAACTCATCCGTAGTCGACTGTACGAGTTTTAAATGGCAGTCCCGTGTGTTGCCATGGCCGTGTATAGGCGTCAACAGACGGAGGTGTAACCCTAACCCTTGCCTTGAACATGCTTGCTCTAAACAGTCAGCAGTGTCATTCATCCGATCCC